AGGACATGGCAGAGGTGTCACCCTCCACCTCACACCACAAAGGACAGCAGACTCGGGGAGATGCAGGTCTCCACGCTCCTACTCATGTGTCTCTCTAGAGCTCCTGAGAGCTGACAGTTTATTTGGTTTTTGATTTTTTTTTTTAAACAAATGGCAGGTTTAATCTTTTTTTTTTTTTTTTAAAATGTTCTCCCTGAGCCCCATGTCTGTCACAGAAAAGGAGGTTAACTATAGATCCTGAGTCCAGCCCTCTCCCACTTACACACACTGGAGTGATCACACTGGTGGGAGGGCCCCGGGTGTGGAGCACTGCAGGATCAAAAATGTCACCTTGCTGTTAGGTGGGTCACCTGCACCATACACTCCAAAGTCCTCTTAGTCGCGTGCTGTCTGCACTTTTTGCCTGCCTCTCACTCTCTTGTAAAGACTAAATGTATGACATGAAGGAAAACTAAGGATTTTAATGTGTAATTTGGGAGGCATTTGAAGGTGACTGTGTCAGCATTTTGTTCTTTATTAGAGTAGGATATTGGGGATTTATTTTATGTGGCCACATTTTAGATCTTTTAAGTCTTTTTGTTGGCTTTCTCGGTATCACTACTAAGGCCTTTTCCTGTATTGCAGACATTCCCTTCGCTGTTGAGTCTGAAAGAACCTTGTAATCCTTGGGGGCTTTAATGTACATTTGTTTTGTTTGTGCTCTTCTTTGCCAGCAACAGCCATCATTCAGGTTGAAGACCAGGATACAGGTGCAATTGAGAACATTATAGTTGAAGTCAAAAAAGAGCCAGATGCCGAGCCCGTGGAGGGGGAGGAAGAGGAGGCCCAGCCAGCTGCCACAGACGCCCCCAACGGAGACCTCACGCCCGAGATGATCCTCAGCATGATGGACCGGTGATGGTGGGGCCTCGCGCGTCACCAGGACTGCTCTGGGCTGTGTTTCAACGGCCAACATCTTAATTTTTCTCCCTTCTTTCTTCTTTTGGCTTTGGGAAAAGCATCATTTTACACCATTTTACCAAACATACTGAGAACAAAAACTTCAAGGATGATGTTAGAAAAAATGTGATTTAACTAGAACTTGCTGTCTGATATTAGCAAATCATGGAATGTTCTGAGTCCCTGAGGGTTCACTTTGAAGTGCTGAGGACAGTGGTGACGCCTCGCTAGTTTTCCTAGATGGAGACAGAGACACTGACCCCTCTCTCTCAATATGGTAAACCACTCCAGGATGGCCACCAGGTTTCCCAGAGTTCTATGGTCTTCTTCCCAAGAGAGTTTTTAATTGTAAATGCAGACTTGGGAAGGACTTAGACTTTTAAACTCTTTTTTGCTTTTGCTTTTCCCTGACTCCCTTTGCTTGGAGTCAGCTGCACACCAGTAGTATGGCATGCTACGATCGGTTTCTGTCCTGAAAGCTTTGCCTCTTTCTTGGCAAAGTTTCTGGTATGGTCAAGCTTGTAAATAACTTTTTTTACATTTTAATCTTTTCCATTAATTAAGAGGTTGAAAAGAAGTGCAGTGTAAGAAAACCCAGCATTTTAATTACTTGCAAATTAAGTTACCACAGACTCTAGTGCGTGAATGTTGACGAGGAATTGGATCACAATCATGTAGCAGAACAGTACCCAGACTGCTGCCTGCTAGTGACGGACACCCATGTGGAAGATCATGATTTCCAGCCCATGGAGCCAGCATTTGAACCTTGTGCACCTGATTTTCAGTTATGATTTCCCATCAACATTTTCTTTGCTGTTTGTAGCTGAATGTTGTTTTATAAATCCTCTGTTAAAGCAGAAGGGTGATTATGAGTGGGTCACAGCAGACCTTACAAGCTGGGCCAGAAAATTTCACTAGGTCAGTAATTTAAACTTTGGATCTTCAAAAAAGAAAATAATGTGAAGTAAAACCAACTAAAAAGTGATTCTTGCACATGAACTATCACGTTTAAAATGTGTTTTTTAGAGAGCCTCAGTCTTACTGATTTCAAACACTTTTTTCTTCTGTGTATTGCTTTTAAGAGAGCCATCAGTTAGCTATCAGACTCTAGGTTGATGCATTTTGTACTTAGCTGTACTGTGTGATATTTTTCATTATTTTAGGACGCCACCATGAGACCTGTAATAAAATATGTAATGGGGTTGAAAGCTGGGGAGGAGGATCTACTGCTGTACAGCTAATAAATCATAACGGATTAACAAGTGCTCCAAAGACTGTCTTGCGTGATTGCTGCCTGGGGGAGGGAGGGCTGTGTACGTGGCTCCAGGCTGTGCAGGCCTCTGCCTTTCAGAGGCAACCTGTATTCCTGGAATGGCACATCTTAGCAAACGGGAAGAGATGATCTTGGCAGGTGACAGATACTGAGTGCATCCTGCTTTGACTTTTAATTCCCCCACAAGTGTGCGGTAAGTAGATGGACAGCGGCCGGCCTCTGTGATCCACTTTAGGAGTGGGCATCCTATGTGCACAGCTGGTGGGCCACAGAGCTGCCTAGAGTAAAAGGGCTGATGGGAAGCTCTGTCCTCAGCATCTCAGCTCAAGGAGGGCTGGGGATCAGTACTTGAAGCTCTGCCAAATACAGGGGAACAAAAGCTGGGCCCAGCGTGCCCTAGAGGAGCTCATTTGAAAGGGGAGGCATGTGAACAACGGCCAGGCTGTGAGGAGAGATGCTTAGATAGTACAGCTGCTTGCAAGCACCACGGAAGACAGATGGAAAGGCAGTCACGTCTACGAGCTTACGCATTAGTGCAAATCACATTGCTGCTACTGTTGGCCGTATCTGGGCAGATTGGTTTGGCAAACCCATTTTAGATGAAAACGTTTTTTGTTTTCGTTTTTGAGATAGGGTCTCGCTCTGTCACCCCAGCTAGAGTGCAGTAGTGTTGTCATAGCTCACTGCAGCTTTAAATTCCTGGGCTAGGCTCAAGCAATCCTCCTGCCTCAGCCTCCCAACTAGCTGGGACTATAGGTATGCATCACCACACCTGGCTAATTTTTTTTTTTTTTCCTTTTTTTTTTTTTGTAGAGATGGGGTCTCACTGTGTTGCTCAGGCTGGTCTCAAACTCCTGGCCTCAAGTGATCCTCCCACCTTGGCCTCCCAGAGTGCTGGGATTACAGCCAAGAGCCACCTCGTCTGGCCTGTAGGGTTTTTTTTAAACCAAAATTCCAGCTTGCCAGTTTGCAGTGAGAAGTAACAAAGGACAAGTGCATGTAGCTTTTGGCTGCCTTGTGGATGTCTGTGCAGTCAGGTCTCCTAGGGAAATAGAACCCTTGGCCTCCTCTGGCCTTGGGACTCGGCCAGGCAGTCAACTCTTTGGATTGAGTGTTGGTCTCAGGCTGTTGGAGCACAAGGTCTCCATCCTGTCTGGGGGCTGGTCCCGCAGCAGGGCCAGAGTACCTCCTACCAGAGTTGTTTCAACGGGCACATAACTTTTCTTTTTCTTTTTTTCATTTTTTGTTTTTGTTTTTTGAGACAGAGTCTTGCTCTGTCGCCCCAGGTGGAGTGCAGTGGCGTCATCACAGCTCACTGCAGCCTCTACTTCCTGGGCTCAAGTAGTCCTCCTGCCTCAGCCTCCCGAGTAGCTGGAACTACAGGCGTGCGCCACCACTCCCAGCTAATTTTTTCTATTTTTGGTAGAGATGGGTTGAGATGGTGTTAAGGCTGAAAAGGGATCCTCTGCAGCATAGCCCATGATACCCTGTGACTCCAGTAAATATAAAACCTTGGCCAGGCACGGCCTCTGTTCACAGGAACTCTTGGCAGCATCCTCTCCAGCTGCGTGAGCCCTCCATGTGCATGTTGCTTAAGTGGAGGAGACTTACTCCCCCAAGTTGCTGTTCAGTTCTACTTTCTGCCTTGCCCAGTTTTGGGTGGACCTCAGCAAGAGAGGGCTGAGATGGGGGGGTGCAGGTGACTGGAGGATGCTCCCACTGTCTCCAAGCCCCAAGGCAGGGCTGGGTAGCTAGAGCCCACTGCCCAGTATGTGGTCTCCTACTCGGGTCATTTAGCCTCTGCCTGCCTGAGCTGTGGGGAGGTAGAAGGCTGCTCCTTATCTCCTAAGTGAAGTTTCATTAGATCGTAATGGAAGAAAAAAAATGTATCCCTTCCTGTGAACCTTCCAGAAACTAAGTCCCTGGTGTTTTATAGGACAGCACACTACTCTGGCTGGCAGACCCCACCCATGACTTTCTGCCCCTCTCAGCCCTGGAGACAAGAGGTCCCCTCTCTCTGTGGCTGCCCCCTCCCCGAACTCTCCAGCTGGGGAGGATGCAGACACAGGGAGAACTCCTGTGTAACCGGTGTTTGCTCACGAGACACTCCAGCCCTCCTGGAGGACCTTGGGGTTCACAGGCCTCACCTTAGCCCGAGGCAGCCCCCTGAGGGCCCCTGGCACAAACAACCCTCACCGTGGGCCCTGACCCAGCCTGAACCTGATGAGAGCTGAAGACCCTCTGCTGCACAGAAGGGTGTCAGGGCCCATCTGTCATTTTTTCTGTCCTTCCAAAAGTTCATGGATCCCCAACAGGGTTACAGACTCCAGGTTCAGAGCACCAGGGCAGGACTCCCGGCGTTGCGAGAGATCGGGCGCGCCGCGCTGCACACACTCGCCTGGGCTTAGGTGGGGACGGGCCAGGGTGGGCTGCAGGAATCCCCGGGCGGGCAGCGCCCCCTGGTGTTCTCGGCAGGGAGTGCGGGGCGGGGTGGAAGTTGGGGGCGAGGAGCCGCTGGAGGTACGCGACACGCGTGACCCCCCTCCGCCCCCGGCCACACCACTCGCCAGCCTCGTGACTACCCTGGCGAAGCTCCCGCTCGACGGGGCGGGCAGCTGGGACTCGTGCCCCCTCCCACAACCCCAAACCCGGGCGAGCTCTGCGCAAAGCCGGGCCGGGGAGGGGCCAGCTGGGGGCGGCCGGGCAGGAAGCGGCGCGTACCTTCCGCCGCAGGAGGAGCAGGTGGCTGCAGTGCGGCCCGGGGCCCGGGCTTCCTGTGTGCGCGCCGTCCGCTGCTGTTTCCCGCCCCGGAGCTCGTCGGGCCGCCCCGGCCCAGCCCGGCCCCATGGCCCAGACCCCCGACGGCATCTCCTGCGAGCTGCGAGGTAAGCGCTGGCCCTTCCCACCCACTTGGCTGGGAGGAAGCAGCGCGGACCCCAAACCAGAGGCCCACCCAGCGCCCCGGGGGGCTCGGCCAAAGGTTCTCTCCGCTCCTCTAGACGGAGGATCTGCCCCACTCCAACCTTGCTGGCACAGAGATGAGCCCCAGGGCCCCAGCCTGGCACAGACTGTGGGCACAAGTTGCCTCCGTGGGAGGACCAAAGTCACCCAGAGGCTGACCTTCCACAGGAGAGATCGCCAGGTTCCTGTGGCCCAAGGAGGCAGAGCTGCTGCTGAAAACCTGGCTACCCCAGGAGGGTGCTGAGCGGAGTTACGTCCTGGTATGGGGGGCAGGGGGCAGAGCCTGGGAGGCAGCTGGGCCCAGCGGAAAGAGCTTCCTGCCCTGCCTAGAGTGTCAGACTCCGTCTCCCCCAGGTGCTGCTACGATGGAGAGTCTACCTGCTCCACACCTGCCTCCCTCTGAGAGTGAGTCCCAGGGCCTGGCTCCCACAACCCTTGCCCTCCAGCTACCTTGGCAAGGGGCTGCATCTGCACAGCCTCGTCCTTCTTGTCCTTGTGGGCTGTGCCTTGCCACCAGCCCTGGGCCCCCGGCAGCAGGCAGGAGTGGAGTCTAGGCAGGTCGGGCTCCAGGCCTGAGCTCCTGAGAGGGTGGGGCTCGGGCTTGGTTCCCGCTGACCTAGACGCTCCCCAGGTGGACTGCACGTTCAGCTACCTGGAGGTCCAGGCCATGGCACTGCAGGAGACACCCCCTCAGGTAAGACATCTAGTAGCCCACCTGGGCCTGCAGCCAGGTCTTCCTTCTGTCACCACCTACCCCCACACATGAAGCCAAGGCCCAGCAGCTGTCCCTCCCAGGTCACCTTTGAGCTGGAGTCCCTGCCTGAGCTGGTTCTGGAGTTTCCTGATGTGGCTGCCCTGGAACGGCTGGCCCAGCATGTGGCTGTGGCCATCAAGAAGGTCTTCCCTCGTTCGACCCTTGGGTGAGGCCCAGTAACCGCCAGGGGCTGGCAGGGGAGGAGGGCAGCAGGCAGATGCTCCAGGTGGGCACAGATGGGCTGCTTCTCATCCCGGGGCCGAGAAGTCCCTTGCCCCTTCTCCTTTGCCCCTCCACAGGAAGCTATTCAGGAAGCCCACACCCCCCTCCATGCTGGCTCGGCTGGAGAGCGGCCACCCCTCAGAGGGCAGCGCCCCCTGCAGCCCCTGTGGTAAGGGCCGAGGCAGGATCCCCAGACCTTCCAGCCTACGATGCCCCTATAGCCCCAGACCCCTGGAGTTGGGGGGCTCCCAGACTGAACAGGGTCACCCTGGTCACAGCCACCATCCAGCCTGGGTCTGCTCTTCCTCCGTCTCTGACCTTTTGTTTCTTTCCTTCCCTCCATCATACCTGTCACCTCCCCAGGTGGCTTCTTGGAGACTTACGAGGCTCTGTGTGACTACAATGGCTTCCCTTTCCGAGAGGAGATTCAGTGGGTGAGGGTGGGGCCCTCTCTGGGGGGTTGTGGAGACATCTGGTCCCCCGTGTGTGCTGAGCCCTTCCCTACCCCTGTGGCCCTAAGCAAATGGTGGACACTTTCTTCTCATCCAGGATGTGGACACCATCTACCATCGGCAGGGCTGCCGCCATTTCAGCCTGGGAGACTTCAGCCACCTTGGCAGTCGGTATGTGGCCTGCCTGGAAGGGGAGAGGAGGAAGATTCCAGGGTCCGTATTCCTGGGCCTCAGCCTCCCTGTGGAGGGCCCTGAGCTCTGCCCCTGCTCCTTCCCCCTCCCAGGGACCTGGCCTTAAGCGTGGCTGCCCTGTCGTACAACCTGTGGTTCCGGTGTCTCTCCTGTGTGGACATGAAGCTGGTGAGGGGTAGGGGCGAGGACAAGCCGGGAGTGAGGGCCGGGTGCAGCCCACTGAGCCACCACCCTCTGTTCTCAGAGCCTGGAGGTCTCAGAGCAGATTCTGCACATGATGAGTCAGTCTTCCCACCTGGAGGAGCTGGTGCTGGAGACCTGTGGCCTGAGGGGGTGAGGGGGCGAGGCTGGGGGCTGGTAGCCTGGGAGGGTTCCAGAATCCAGGGTCAGAGTCTCACACCTGGGGTGTGGTCCCCAGAGACTTTGTCCGGCGACTAGCCCAAGCGCTGGCAGGACACTCAAGCTCTGGGCTTCGGGAGCTCAGCCTAGCAGGGAACCTGCTGGATGACAGAGGTATGGCTGAGCCTGGGGAGGGGACCCTCGGGCTGGTGGCTGGAGGAGATGAGACTCACATGGCTGGACCATCCCCCAGGTGTAGCTGCGCTCAGCAGACACCTAGAGCATTGTCCAGGAGCCCTGAGGAGACTCAGCCTAGCGCAGACAGGGTTGACACCTCGAGGTAGGCGGGATGGGACAGGTGGAGGGGGAGGTAGGTCTGCCTGAGTGCTGAGCCATCCCCGACCCCCACCAGGAATGAGGGCTCTGGGCCGGGCACTGGCCGCCAATGCTGCCTTCGACTCTGCCTTGACTCACCTAGACCTTTCCGGGAACCCTGGAGCGCTGGGGGCCTCCGAAGACAGTGGGGTGAGTGGCTGTCTTCAGGGTTGGAGCTTGGGGTGGCCGCAGGCAGTGGGATGTCAAGATGCCCCAGGTAAGCCACCCCTGACTCCCTCCCACTCCTGTCCTTCCACCAGGGCCTCTATAGTTTCTTGAGCCGTCCTAATGTTCTGGCCTTCCTGAACGTCGCAGGCACTGAGGCCGCCCTGGACACTGTGAGGGGGTGGTCAGTGGGGGATGATGGGCAGGGCGCGTTGGCCCGAGCAGGACAGACTGGAGGGTGGGGACGGGCACGGTCCTTCTGCCGGTGTAGCCGACACCCTCCTTCCGCAGCTCTTTGCGGCGCTGTCCCGCGGCTGCTGCACCAACCTCACCCACCTCGATGCTTCGAGGAATGTCTTCTCCCGCACGTAAGGGGACCTCTCGGGGTGGGGGCAGGCTGCCGGGAGCCGCCTCCCCGTGCCCGCAAGCCCACTTCCCCACGCCCCCACCAGGAAGTCCCGGGCCGCGCCGGCCGCGCTGCAGCTCTTCCTCGGCCGCGCGGGGACGCTGCGGCATCTGAGCCTGGCGGGCTGCAAGCTGCCGCCAGACGCGCTCAGGTAGGTGTCTCTGCCCACCGTCACGCCCCCGCGTGTGGGGCTACCACCCAGGCCAGGCCTCCTGCGTCTTCGCCAGTCCTATGGCACCCCCAGCCTTCCCCGCAGTCTGGCCCTGCCTTCCTGGTTTTCGTTCGCATCCCGGGGTCCCCTTTCCCAGCTCCCGCCACCCCCGTGTGACATCCCCTCCCAGGGCACTTTTGGATGGCCTCGCGCTCAACACGCACCTCCGCGACCTACACTTGGACCTCAGCGCTTGTGAGGTGAGCGCCCAGCCCGGAATGTGAACACGCGGGGGGCCCACACTTGGGAGCGGGGCTGGGAGGCGGGACAGCGGGGCTGTTGGCTGCCTGCCCCGCCCCGCCTGTGGCCTGAGTGGGCCCCACCTTCCACCTCCAGCTGCGATCGGCCGGCGCCCAGGTGATACAAGACTTAGTGTGCGACGCAGGCGCCGTGAGCTCCCTGGATCTGGCGGATAATGGTCAGGCCGCCCGGGAACTCACCCTGCCATCATCCGCCCGATTCCCAGCCCCCACCCTACCCCCGCAACCTCGCCCTGTGCGTGACCCGAGTCACCCCCAGGCTTCGGCTCGGACATGGTGACTCTGGTGCTGGCCATTGGGAGGAGCCGGTCCCTGAGACATGTGGCGCTTGGAAGGAACTTCAACGTCCGGTGCAAGTGAGCCCCCACCCTACTCCCGGGCCTCCCAGACAGCACCCCACCACCCCGGTCCCCACCCCCAACCGCGGCCCCTGCCCACAGGGAGACCCTGGACGACGTCCTGCACCGGATTGTCCAGCTCATGCAGGACGACGACTGTGTGAGTTCACGGGACCTTGCGGGGTCCAAGGCAACAGACACCTTTGACCCTTCCGCTTCTTGCTCCCTCAGACCCTGTGACCCGCCCTCCTTGCTGACCCTTGACTCCAACCATCAAAGACTTTCTTTTAACTCCCAGCCTCTGCAGTCTCTGTCCGTGGCTGAGTCTCGGCTGAAGCTGGGCGCCAGTGTCCTACTCCGGGCCCTGGGCGCCAACCCTAACCTGACAGCGCTGGATATCAGCGGCAACGCCATGGGGGACGTGGGCGCCAAAATGCTGGCGAAGGCGCTGCGGGTCAACACGAGGCTCCGGTGGGCGGGGTCAGAGGGGTGGGACCAATGGGGAGGGGCGTGCCGGACCAAGGGGCGGGGCTAAATGCGGCGGAGCTTAAGGAGCCGGCTGGGGGCCAGGCGAATGGACCGGGCCAGCGTTGGGTGGGCCCTTGCGGAGCTCCGTCCGCGACTGAAGCCCGGCCTGGCCCGGCCCAGGTCTGTCGTCTGGGACCGGAACAACACTTCTGCTCTGGGCTTGCTGGACGTGGCGCAGGCGCTGGAGCACAACCATAGCCTGAAGTCTATGCCTCTGCCACTCAACGACGTGGCCCAGGCGCAGCGCAGCCGCCCGGAACTGACAGCACGTGCAGTCCATCAGGTGGGCTTCCCCTCTCCTCCCCTGAGCCGTGACTCTGTCCTCTGCCGTTTCTCAATATACCTTGTCCCTAGATCCAAGCCTGTCTCTTGAGGAACAACCGCGCGGACCCTGCCTCTTCTGACCGCCTGTCCCAGCTTCAGCCATTGAGTCTGGTTTCAAACCCCTCTGAGCAGGTCAGTGTCCCTCCCCCAACCTTGATTACTCACAGGAGGTAGGGCATGGAGAAAGCTGTAGCACCTGGGAGCCTCCATGAGTCTGAGGGTCTGACTTTCCTGGGGCCAGAGTGCCTGAGTCCTGCTGTCCCAGACAAAGCCCCTCTCTTTGGTCTGGAGACAGCCAACCACTCCTGAAATAGCTCCCCAGCTGACATCCCTGGCTGCCTTACTTTAAGCATGGAAACAAGCTCTCCTGTTAACCACCAGGGGTATTTAAAAATCCTCCCTCAATTTCCCTGATAGTAGCCTCTTCTCTGACTTCGCGTTCGACAGGGCTCCCCTCCCCTCTCCACTGACCTCTGTGTGGCCAAACCCAGCAGCTCCTTCTCTGGCTCCATCTCCTTCCACAGCCTTCCCCGTTGGAGGTGTTCCCATCTCTCCATTCCCAAACCCCACTTTTCTCCTGAGCTACAGCACCCAGACATCTTGATCCAGACATCCTGCTGGGCTTTCACACTCCACACATCTTCAAGTGATCTCATCGTTTCCCACAAACCCTATTCTATTCCCTGGAGCCCAACCAATCTCCCTAGTGCCCACAGCCACCACGTGCTGTGGACGGAGGTTTGGACATCCTTCCGTGTCACTCCTGGTCACACTGGAACACTCACAGTCCTCCTTGGTCCTGCCTCTAGACCAACTCTCAAACATGCTGTTCCTCACCCACCCCCTACCCTAGTTATCCCTTGCTCCCCCTGATCCCTCCTCTCCTCTCCATGGCTCCTTCCTGCCATTTCTCACCACCCCCCAGGCCATCCTCTATGTGGATGGCGGACAGACTAAGCTTCTACAATGCAGACCTGGCTTACAGCTCCTTTTCTTCTTATTCTGGGCACTAAGAAGTACATATAAAGTCCCTAAAATGAACCAAAGGAAGAGATACTGTTCTCCCTCCTTGAACGGCTAGAGTTCCTAAGTGGCTGGCCTAATAGTGCCAGCTTCAGGATGTCACTCACCCTGTCAGAAACCCTGGGAGGAAGGCAGGCAGGGTCTGGGCGACTGGGAGGGGACTAGGCTGGGACTGATACTTGATGCCCCTCAGGAAGTGAATGAACTGTGTCAGTCGGTGCAGGAGCACATGGAGCTGCTGGGCTGTGGGGCTGGGCCCCAGGGTGAGGCCGCTGTGCACCAGGCTGAGGATGCCATCCAAAATGCCAACTTCTCTCTCAGTGTAAGCACTCCCTACCCAACATGAGGACTCTCCCCCACTTAATCAGGTCAATTAGCAACTCCTTTCCTCCCTGGCCCTCAGATTCTCCCCATTCTATATGAGGCTGGGAGCTCCCCAAGCCATCACTGGCAGCTTCGGCAGAAGCTGGAGGGTCTCCTGAGACAGGTGGGTGAAGTCTGCCGCCAGGAAATCCAGGTGAGATGGTTTTCCTGCCCCAGCCCCACCTCCATGTGCAGGCTTGACTATGATATCCCCTGAGTTAATGGTCTGTGGGAGTTGGAGCCTGAAGCCAAGTGGCCTGGGCCCTGGCCATACCCTCACCATGCTCTGACCTTTGCTCAGGACTTCACTCAGGCCACACTGGACACAACAAGGAGCCTCTGCCCACAGATGCTGCAGGGATCTGGCTGGAGGGAGCAGCTAGAGGGAGTCCTGGTGGGCTCAAGGGGCTTCCCAGAGCTGCTGCCAGAACAGCTGCTGCAAAATGCCTTCACTAGGCTCAGGTGGGCTGGATAGAGCTGGGCTGGGCAGGGCTGGGTAGAGCCGAGCCAGCCCACTAATCCCTGTCCTCTCCTACCTTCAGGGATATGCGGCTGTCAGTCACAGGGACCTTGGCAGAGAGCATTGTGGCTCAGGCTCTGGCGGGTCTGAGTGCAGCCCGGGACCGGCTGGTGAGGGGGACCTTACACACACACACACACACACACACACACCCAGCCATCTGTCTTTCAGGGGCTCTGTAAGGTCTTCTGGGGTCATGTAGCCCAGGGCTATTTCAGGGTTCCCTTAGCACTGGTGGGATTGTGGCTGAGGCCCTACCTGTCTATCTTTAGCTGCCTGGTATTGCAGGTAGAGAGTCTGGCTCAGCAGGCAACAGTGGTGGTGCCCTCTGCCCTACCCACACTGGATGGAGGTGAGCCCAGCCCCCTCGGGCCTGGGGAATTGGAAGGTCTCTTCTTTCCGGAGGAGAAGGAGGAAGAAGAGGAGGAGAAGGCAAGTGGTTCCAGAACTCCGGGCCCAGAATTTTAAATCTCCCCTCCTTGCTCTGGAATGTAGCAGGTGAAAGGGGCTTGTGCTCCCCTACTCCAGGCTGAATTTGTGCCCTCCCACCAGGATGACAGTTCTCGGAAATGGCCTGAACCCAGCCACGGTCTTCGCCCCGCCTCATCCATTCACAGTAAGTCCGGGCCTTGGAGGAAAGGAACCTGACACCCGGACGCTCACTCAGCCTTGCCGGGGGCACTCTCTAAGCCTTGACTGGGCCAAGCCAGAATCCCTGTACAACCTGCCAAGCCGAGGTCTGCTGTGGCCAGCATGGCGCGGGACCTGAGCACACTAGGGCCGGCACCCCGCTCCGCTTGCCTCCCCCCGCCCCTTTCCCTGCCCCCAGGATGCGCATGCTTGGCAGCCGTGCGGAGCCGCGCGCTCGGGGCCGCGCTCAGCACCACGGACAGCGGCGGCGGCGGGGGAGGGGCGGGGGGCGGGCGGCGTAGCCGGGCCCCTCCCCGCACCCTGGGCTGGTCCCCCGCCGCCCTAGCGCCTCCGCCACCACCTCCCTGGGCTCAGCGCTCGGCGCTCTTCTGGTGCTCTCCCCTCAGGTGCTGCTGAGGAACAGGAGCCCGAGCTGGCGGCTCCGGGGGAAGATGCGGAGCCGCAGGCGGGGCCGTCCGCGCGCGGCTCTCCGAGCCCTGCCGCCCCCGGGCCCCTGGCCGGCCCGCTGCCTCGCATGGACCTGCCGCCCGCCGGACAGCCCTTGCGCCATCCGACCCGGGCACGGCCGCGGCCGCGCCGCCAGCACCACCACCGCCCGCCGCCGGGGGGCCCGCAGGTGAGCGTCCTCCCCCCACTGTGGAGCTCGTGGGGTTGGGGGTCGTCGGTGGCCCGGTCGCTCCTCAAGGGTGATGGCGGTCAGGGAGGTGGGTTGCTGGGGCGCAAGGCCATCTGGTGGTGCTACTGCGGTCATATCCTGGCTGCTTCCTGGCTACCCTATACCCCAGGTCATGCTCATGCGGAGCCATGGGTGTGTGGGTTTTGTTCGGGTGCGCCTGGGTGTAGGACTCCGCTACGGGGTGGCCCACTGCATCGGGGGATGTGCGAGAGACGGTGTCCGTCTCGCCCTCCCTCCCCCTGGGTTACTGAAAGATGCTGGGCAGTCGACTGTAGGGACAATCCTGCGTCTACCGCACGGTGTGTGTGTCGGGGGAGATGTGGGCTGGGTACCGGCGAGGGCAGTGGACACTGGTGGAACAGGGGTGGGGTGGGGGAACCTGGCTTGAGGCCCCCCAGAGGGTCTGACGCAGCAGCCGGCGCCACTGAGCCGGCAGCAGGCCGGGTGGAGTGGGGGTGGGGTGGGGGTACTGCAGGGAACTGTTTGGAGCAGAGAGGGTGGCAAGTGGGAACGTGTGACCCCGGGGGCACGTGGGCGTGGGTGCCAGCCTGCTGGTGACTAGGTGGCTCAGGGCGTGGAGGATACCGTGGGACAAGAACGGTGTGGGCTGGGTGTGTGTGCCGGAGCCAGCAGCGGGTGATGGAGTGTGGCAGATCCAGCATCTCTGCCCAGCAGCTGGACAGCAGGAGGGCTTATAGCAGCAGCCCTCCACGGTCATCCCACCTCTGGGATCTTGGAGTCACCCAGGCCAGATTGCTGGACAGGGGCAGGGGGGAAGCTACAGTTGCACTCAGCCCTGACCCCTGACCTCATGGTATCCCCCAGGTACCCCCAGCCTTGCCGCAGGAAGGGAATGGGCTCAGTGCCCGCGTGGACGAGGGCGTGGAGGAATTCTTCTCCAAAAGGCTGATCCAGCAGGATCGCCTGTGAGTGAGGGGCAGTTGCAGGGGGTGGGAGAGGGTGGGATGCCCCACGGCCTTTCTCACTCATTGCTGCTTGTCCCCACAGCTGGGCCTCTGAGGAGGACCCGGCCACTGAGGGGGGTGCCACTCCAGTACCCCGTACACTGCGAAAGAAGCTGGGCACCCTCTTTGCCTTCAAGAAACCTCGTTCAACACGGGGTCCACGGCCTGATCTAGAGACCAGCCCTGTGGCAGCTCCCCGCACCCGAAAAACCACACTTGGCGACCTGCTGCGGCCACCAACCCGTCCCAGCCGTGGTGAGGAATCTGGGGGGGCTGAGGGGGGCATCAGCAGCCCTGACTCTGCCCGCAGGAGCCGGCCTCGCTACACAAGGGATAGCAAGGCCTACTCCATGATCTTACTACCTGCTGAGGAGGAGGAGGCAATGCTGGGTGCCAGACCCGACAAGGTAGGCCTGGTGACAGGGGGTGAGGGCTTTTCTGGAACCCAGGGCAGTGGGCTCTCTCCTGACTCAGGCTTCTCTGTCCCTAGCGGCGGCCCCTGGAGCGGGGAGAGACAGAGCTGGCTCCATCCTTTGAACAGCGGGTACAAGTGATGCTGCAGAGGATAGGAGTGAGCCGAAGCAGCGGGGGTGCCGAAGGCAAGAGGAAGCAAGTAAGTTGGGGGGACACAAGTGTAAAGTGAGGGGGTAGGTGGCAGTCTGTGGGTGACATGTGACAAAGAGGAATTCATGGCCCACAGATGGGCTTAATTGTCCCTCCCCTCAAAATAGTCATCAGATTCAAACTTTCTTCCCTCTTAGCTTCTACCCAGGCCACTGATAACTCTTCCCTGGACCTGGGAAAGTCCTTCCTCTGCAGGCCTAACAGAAATCTCACCTTGTCACCTGTACTTTATTTTTTTTTTTTATTTTTATTTTTTTTGAGATAGAGTCTCATTCTGTTGCCCTGGCTAGAGTGAGTGC